CCGTCTGCCCAGCGGGGCCCTCTGAGAGCAGGCTGGGGGCTGCACGGCATCCCTCCCCAGGAAGCCCACGTCCTTTCCCAGCCAAGAATTTGTCCCTTAAAGATCTCGGTGCTGCTTTGGGTCCCACCTATCCACGGCACATGCAGGGAAGAAGAAAGCTAGAGGCTGGGCTGGGTGTAAGGGTGCCGTATCCCCCCATTGCCAGCATCTCCTCGGGTGCACCCTAAGGTGCCATCAGCACCATGTCCCCGGGGAGGTGCTGGGGATGAGAGCAGTGCCCGGCTAATGCTTTAAGAAGCCACACACTTGTCTATTCAAGCTTGTGAAACCTTCCAGCACCCTCGAACAAAGACTGGCCGATTCTGCATTAACCTGCCTTGAAATCTGCCTCCCACTGCACGGCATGGCATGGCATGGCACGGCAAGTGGGGCTCCCTCCCTCAGCGGCCGGCCCGGCTCGGAAGACAGGGTGCTGTCCTCGACGTTAGAGCCAGGCAGCCTGAACAGGCAGCAGTGCAGGCAGCAAGACCCCTGTGCTGGTCCTGCATGGCTCTGCAGCTGGAGGCAGCGCACCGGGGCGGAGGGGAGAGGAGAACATTGCTGTCCCATCTCACTGTGGGGGACAAGGACCGGTGACCCCTCCGGCTCCAGAGCCTGATGCAGGGACGTGTCTGGGAGTGGGTGCTCCCACCCACAGGGGTGGACAGGGACAGTCTCCCCAGGGAGACCCAGCCCGACCCACGGCCCCAGGGGCTGGGGCAGAGCCCGTGTCCCCGCGGCTCCAGCCTGCAGAGAGTTAAGGCCTGGGCGACACGCTGGCCACTTCGCTATCTCCAGGTTTTTGAACTTTCCCCAGTGGCACAAGGCAAACAGCGCGGTAGTGCCAAGCAGAGGAGCCAATGGAAGGGATGGGCTTCCCGGGCGTGCGGCCAGATCCTGCCGGTCAAGGCTACCCGCACACGTTCCTCACCAGTGCTGCCCGCCCCGACAACCAGCTTAAAGGAGCAGCCCGAGCCTGCGGACCACAGCCCCGCAGCCGCAGACGGCCACCTTGGCCACGCGCGAGGCTGGTGGGGCCACGGCCACGGAGCTGCAGTGGACATGGAGACAGAGGGGAGATGCCTTTGGGCTTCGCCACTAACCGCCTTTTTTCCCCATTAACGATCCTTTCAGTTTTGGGACTTATGAGGCTGATCTTTGCTCCCTGGTTTGCCTTGAAAATGGCCCCACCCTTCCCTGAAATTATCTCCTGGGGAGATGGATGCAAACCCCACGCTGAGCCACGAAAAAGGTTTGGGATGCCCCAAACAGGTGGGAGGTCCCACTGCCCCATGCTGCTGGAGAAATGGGGAAACAGACCCCACTACGGGCTAAGGGGTCTCTGTGGGATGGGGTAAGGTGGGAGCCGGGCTCAGCCTGGGACCAAACCCGGCGTGGGTCAGCACCGACTGTTTCGGCCAGTCGCGCCTTGTTTGCCCCGTGATTCATTTAGCCCACCCAGAAGTTTAAGGTGTTGCAGCCCCTGCTTTCATGGCAAAATGAGTATTTTGCTGTCCATCCACAGCAAACGGAGGGGGGGAGGAATGATTTGGCAAGATGCAGGGCTGCACGAGAGGAACGGGCAGCAGCAGGAGGGGAACAGCTAAGCTGAGGGTCCTCTGGCAGGTACAAGCCTGCTCGGCCTTCCCAAGTGCAGCCGGAGCAGGATCCCCTGTGGGGCCGTCAGAGCCCCCCTTGCTCCCTGGGCTGCCAGGACGCAGCTTGGCCCTGGACTGGCTGAAAGAGGACAGCCTTTCCAGGAAGTTCTAAAAGCTCACGTTCGCTTTCTCACACATTTTGCTACGAAAGTCATGTTTTTTCTTGAATTTTTATGTTTTGGGAAAGAAAGTTAAAAATCTAACCACAACTTTCCTGGAAAGTGTCCCCAAGCAAAAACCGACTGTCTTCAAATCTGACTTCAGATCTCTACTATCTGGCTGGGTGTTTTTCTTTACCGTGTTGCGCTGATGAAAAGGCTGCTGCGCCAGCTCGGCTGCTTGCCATGCTGCCTCCGGAGGGAGCGAGCTCTGCCCCGGCAGACGCTGCAGCTGGCGCGGGTGCATCTGGGGTAATTTGAGGGCAGTGCTGCAACAAAGGTGTTAACAGACTGTACAGGGGATTAGCTAGGGACCCACTCTGTGTATCTACTCCCAGATAGGAGTGCCTCTGCCCTTGCAGCTCTGCCTCTTGGACAGCCATTTACCTCCATGCAAAGCGAGCATGAAGTGCTCCAGATGAGAAGGGAAGTCGTTTAAATCTTCTTGCAAATAGTTGTCTGGGAAGCTGGAGAGCTGCGAGCCAAGCCAGGTACATCTCCACAACCAGTTATTTGGGTGATCTCCGGAGGTATGACCCTACTGTGCATCAGCGTGGGAGCAGGCTTGCACACCAGCCCAGCTCCTCTGCACACTGCTTGGACAGGATCAGCCCCAAATCCTTGGGAAATGACAGAGAAAAGGCGTGCAGCTCCCTGCCGCTAATGACAGCACGACCACACTGCAGCGCGGATGGGTTTAGACCAAGCACGAGCCTTTCCCTCTCGCCAGACCCGCTGTTGCCCATCGGGCGGATAATTCATAGCAGAAGCTGCCCAACCCACCGCAAAGCCCCAAAGGGATCTGCCAAGCCAGGGCTGCCATCGGCACCGAGCCCTGCTCCCCTGGCCGGGGCGCCCCGCTTCCTTCCAGCCAGGGCATGGGCAGCGCCCAGACGGCCTTAGGTCTGGGTGAGAGTGAAGCCTCATCAAACGGTGGGGGTGGACCCAGCAATGGCAGGATGTGGCCACATCGGCGTGAGCCACTTCCAGCGGGTCTGAGCTAGTGCACAGGGCTGCAGGCAAATGCTGGAGAACTGCAGCGAACGGAGGTGAGCCGTTTGCCAGGAGGGCAAAGGAAAGTGCGGGCTAATCCTGAGAGAAGGAAACGGGGAGAGGGCAGCTCAGCGTGCGCATCACTGGGGTCTCTGCCTGGGTGCTTGCTGCCCCTGTGCCTGAGTGTTTAAGGCACTGTGAATTAGAGAATCAATTAGAGAGTACGGCAAAGATACAGCAGCAATTCCACCCCTTCTAGGAAAGCCTCAGAGGCTGCTATCAGCTTGCCAGTAGGATGAATTAGTACCGAATCGGCATGCAAGGGTGTAATCGAAGCCTACCTTGTTTTAAATCATGAGAGGGCAGAGTTAATACTCCACATCACTTACTAGTCTGATGCCCCTACCTGCTAAATCTCCCCTCTCGGTATTTGCAGGGGAGAAGAGGAGGTTAATCTACATCACACTCTCGGAACAGCTAAGGGAGGCTTCTTCTGAAGCACAAGATAGACACGTGCAAGATAAGACCATGGGTGTCTGCAGTTTGCAGTTCACATCTGCACCCAGTTTTTCTCCCTTCAGGAGGACAGTTCCCCAGGTCAGTCGCTCAATGATCCTCTGCGATGGGTGACAGGATTGCGTGTGAGCCCAGGAGACCAGCTCTGCAAGGCAGGACACCGGGGAGTGGCGCTGCCGTGATGGGGAGAAAGCTTGCTCACCTGGGGAGATCGTGCTAAGGCGATAGCATGAACAGTTCCTGAAGGAGCTCGGCTCCACGTGCTCAGCTTTTTGGGGGAACCTGGGGAGGCCACGTGTGCTGCAGGGAGGTCCACCCACAGGAGAAAAAGCAGTCTAAGTGAGGGATTCAAGAAACGCAGCAGGTTGCAGAAGGAGGAGTGGAAGAGAATCATTAAGTCTTTGGCAGGAAAATGGGTACAAAGGGCCTGGGAAGTGCTTCATCCCAACCTCCAGCACCAGGAGGAAGACCTTGGTGGGGGGAGTTGCCTCTCTTTGAGGGATCTGAAGAAACAAGTTACTGCTAGAAGCAAGCCTTGATGTGGAGAGAGCGTTTCTTTCCCAGTGAGGGGGTGATGCACAGTCCAGCCCATGGGGAGACAAAACGGCAGATCCTCAGGGCGATTGCTCCAGCTGAGACAGGACTGCCATAAACGTCTGTGAAGTGCCGCGGCGGAATGCTGGAGAGGGGAGGAATTACAGCTACCTAAATGACTGTTCAGCTACAGCCTTTGGAAAACAAGGGTTTAGAGAGGATTTAGTGTATTTGCCCTTGAAATGGTGTGAGCCAGGCCTCGGACAGCAAGGAATGGGTGGCTGAAACAGTCACAGCTCAGCCAGCAGGTCAAGAGAAGTGATAGTTCCCCTCAGCTCAGCACTGGTAAGGCCAAGTCTGGATATTGTGTCCAGATTCGTCCTCCCGATAAAAGAGGGAGGTTCACAAAGTGGCGTGATTCTGAAGGAGGATGTTAAGACGGTTGGGGACTCATGCACAGGACAGAAGAGGAGGGTAAGTGATGGGTTTGTTCAGCCTGAAGAAGAGAAGGTGAAGAGAGGATCTACTTACTGTCTTCAACTACCCAAAGCAGGCTACAGAGGAGATGGAGCCAGACACTTCTCAGACGTGCACCAAGAAAGGACAAGAGGCAACGGACACAAACTGAAATGAGGGAAACCCCAATTACAGCCATGGACAGCACTCTTCCCTGTGAGAGTGGCGCAGCTCTGGGACAGGGTGGACAGGTGGTGGGCTCACCATCCTTGGTCTCCATCCATCAGAGTGATGGCCCTGAGCAACCTGATCTGGCTTTGGAGTTAGCCCTGCCCTGCACAGGGGTTGGACTATGAACTCCAGAGGTGCCTCCCAACTGATATCTTTCTGTGGTTTCTGCTTTGTTAGGGAGTTAGTCTGCCACATAACTGTGGATGCACTCCTGACGACTGGACGACATTTGGCTGGCCACTCCAACTGAGGCTGTGCGCTGCACCAACACCCCTTCTGAGGGACCTGGCTGGGAGAGAAGATGTGAAATGGCAGATGATGCAGAGAAGTATCAAATCAGATAAAACTAAAAGGTGCGCCGGTATCTTTAAACTCCATTTTCCCCCTCTGATACCTTCCTCCAACTACTGCTTACAAGTCTGTCAAAAATGTATTAGCAAAGCTGCCTTGGGTTTCCAAAGGGAGAAAAGAAATGCCTGAACAGCAGCTAGCCAGCAGATCGGTCAGCTCTAGAGCCAGAGTCCAGTCCCACCTGTGGAGAGGCATATCCAGCACTGCATCGCAGGTCCAGGTTCACCTGAACCTGATCTCTGATCAATGCTTGTCATCCTGTTTTTAGGGTGCTGGCAAGCTGCAGAGCATGACAGCTGAGAGGTAGAGGTGGAGAGCATCTAAGGATGGAAGGAACTCCAAGGGTTCCGAGCATGAAGTTTGGAGAACATCCAATGTCAACGTTTCCTTGGTTGGGTCCCATGGCCTGCAGCTACCCTGGCTCCATGGCAGACCAATAACCGCTCCCATGGGTGCTGAGCAAGACCTAGTCTTGCACCAAGGCAGCCAGGAGATATCTTTAGTGATCTGGACTCCGGGGTGACCATCAGTGGTGGCACTAATGCTTTGTAGCTGCTGTGGATCCTCCTCACTGAGGGCCACTGTCCAACTGCAGTTACGGTTTGCCATGGTGCTGGGCTTAGGGCTGGTGTATGCATTGTCATGCTCAGTGCAGGAGGGAAACAAGGCCCTGGAAGAGTCCAAGTGGTAAAGAGATCTGGAATGATGGAGCCCTGTCTGCAGCGTAATGGCCAGCCCTGGGTGGCATCCAGCTGCTGTGGTCCGCTCCACCTGCCAAAGCACTTGCACCCTGCCCCTTTCCCCTCTGCCTGGGCAGCACCAGAGCTCAGGAGCACATGGAGGCTGTGGTGCATCTCAGGCGTCAAGAGCTTGAGCACCCTGGGGTGGAGCAGTGTCTGTTCCTCCAGCCCCAAGCTGCAAGGATCAGAGTACGGCAAGTATGGGGCTGGGAGAGCAAAAGAGAGTGAGGCCACCAGTGCCTCAGTGTCCCCTGTGCATGGCACTCAGGGGTGACTTGCCTGACCAAGAAGCATGACCCTCAGCTGGGTCACCCCACGCTGAAGCTCACCGTGCTCCCGCACAGCACCAGCTTCACCAGCACCTCGGAGGAGAGCTGTTCCACACCGGCTGTGAGCAAACCATGCAATCTGGGATGTGGCGATGGGCCAAATGTACATAGCTATGTGGCAACTAGTACCCTTGGAGTGCTGTCCCAGTGCCCGGTGTCACCAGGGCTGCTCTGGCAGCAACCACATATTCCATCGTGTTGAACATTCAAGGACTTCAAGGCATACCTGAGAGGTCAGCAACTGAATAAGAGCCTGCGTGGAACACGGCAATGTTCAACTCTTCAAGGCTGTTTTGCTGAGGTTTTGTTTTTATGTGGCACCAGTAGGACATCATCATCCCAGGTTTTCACCTGGAGATTTTGGGAAAGCTATGCAAGCAGTTTTGCACTGATGCTAGTAGAGCAATTCACCCTGATGCCATGCTTGAGAGAACTCAAAACCTCAGGGCCTTGGCAAAAGAGGGGAGCTGCCTCCGAGAATGTGGACCAAGGTGCTAAGAGACATGATGCAGGCTCTCCTGTTGTCACCGAGGAGCTGTGGGATGAGCAGGTCCCTAGCATCCTGAGCTTGGGTGATTTGTGTCATTGGGGGAACAATGCAGTCACCCATTTGATTTTGCAGGAGAGAAGGGGGGGAGCTTTCAGGAGGCCCTGGACAAAGCCCAGTGCAGCCATCCAGCCCTGAGTGCTGCTGCATGTCCTGCAATAACCTTGGGACATGTGGGCAGAGCCAAGGACAGGAAGGCAGGACTCCAGCTCTGGGCTGGATTGCCAAAGACTGAGTGTTGGCTGCCCACAGGGTTATTGCTGCTCTACAGAGTGTGCAGGACCCGGCCGTGAGGGTGCTACAGCCGGGTGCAGTGACTCCAGATCTCATGGGAAGGTGGAGGAGGGTTAAGCTACACATGAAGAGAGGAGGAACTTCTCATCTGGCTCCATGGCCAACAACCCAGCACCAGGTCTTTCTCCCTGAAACCTCCCAGGATGGTGGTTTTTGAGCAGATGGCACATCACAACCCAATGGACAAGAAGACAAGGACGCTATCGGTTGGCAATTAGCGGCAGGTTCCCAGAAGAGCAGCGGGGCTTAGACAGCCTCATGCCTTCAAAGAGCTGGGGGGGTTCCATGAGATGCATGCCAGCGAGCGGGATCTTGTACTTACCTGTACTCCAGGCTCATGCACTCAAAAAGCCGGGTGAGGGTCGGGTCGATGCTCCGGGGATCAGCCGGTTCGGGCTCGGTGCGGTGGTGGCGCCGGCGGGGCAGCGAGTCGCTGTGTGGGGACGACACCATGGAAAAAAAACGGGGGTGGGGCCCTCCCCCCCGGTCCCGGGCCCTGCGCCAGCCACAGCTGCGTCCTCGGAGTCCGAGTCGGAGTCGGAGACGGGGCATGGCCCAACCGGGGGCTCTGGGAAGGGTCCTTCGAGCCCCACCTGAGCTCCTGCCATCGCCTGGTGCCTGCTGGGGAGCCCTTAGCGGCCTGCCCCAGCGCTGTGGTCCACGACCTGGTTGTGCCAGAGCCCTACGGGCGCTGCGTTGGCATCGAGCACATGCTGTTGGGCTCCTCAGCACAGGACACCCACACCACACCTCCTCGGTGCCGCTTGCCCCACTCCAGACCACGCCGTCTCCTCCGCGCTCCGAGGTTCAGCTTTCGGTTTGCCGAGGTGGCTTGCCGTCAGCCCTATTTATAGTGCCGGCGGCTGATCCCGCCCATGGCGCCCCGTCAGCCAGGCCACAGCACCCTGCGCCCGGCCACTGGCCACCGGCCACCGGCCACGGGAGCTTCAGCTCCGCGCCGCCGTCCTGCTCTTGCAACGCGCCTGACGGCCCTGGCTTTTATTTCCCCTGCAAACCCGGGGAGGAGCAGCTGCGGGTCCCCTGTCCCCCCCTCACCGGCAGCCACGGGTTCGCTGGCAGTCGGCTCTGTTTACCCGGGGTTAATCGCTGCTCCAGGCGCCCCGTCGGGGAGAGGAGCGGGCGGTATTTACCTAGTGCCTCTGCCCTCATGTGTCTCCCTGTACTTCCAAGGGAACAAATACAGATTAAGAGACACAAACAGGTAAAATTATAGCAACGGGCACCCAGCTCAGCACAAAGCATGCCGAGTCACTGAGCCGTGGGCCAAGCTGAGAAACAGCCCAGGCAAAAGCCTGCTCCGAGGTGCGACCCAGCAGGAGAGGGGATGCAAACGCCGAATGCAAGAGAGGACAACGATGAGCTCAGGCACGGTGGGATTTGCACACCTTGTAGTCATGCAGTCCTTAAGATGGATTACCCTCGCCTCCGAGGTGTCCCGAGAGATGCGGGCAGGCAGGGCTCGCTGCGCCAGCCCCCTCCCCTGCTCTGTGCCAGCTGATCTTTGATAAATACTGGGAGCTCTTGCCAGGGCTTAGCATGTGCCATGCCAGCCAGACCTGTGTCACAAGCATCTCCTCACTGACCAGAGCCACAGGGGGACAAAGTGAATATAATTTCAGGCTTAAATCACTTATTTTCTCTCTAGTTTCTGGCAACTTCTTCCCCCAGCTCCACAACCTGGCACAAGCACACATGCCTGGAGAGCACCCAGGCGCAGCTTTTAGGCACCTCTGATGAAAACATGGGATGAACAGTGGCATAAAGCTAACATAGATGGCCGCAGGCATCTGAACTTCAATCCAGCTTGCAGGTGGAGCAGAGCACCCTCGGTACCACACAGGTGGGTCCTGCTGGGGCTCCGGAGGAGTGAGCAGCCATCCAGGGTATTTTTCAGAGCTGGAAGAAGAATGTGCACAAATAGCTGTTTTGGATAGTTTTCACACTGATTGGTGCAAACCTCACTTAGGAACCATTTGTTCATTTTTCAGCCAGATTTGCATTGCTCTGTAGCTCTCATTTCCCCCTCTGTGATTCATTACAACCATGTCAGCCTGTCCCAAGCTGCCTGTCAAGATGCTGAAGAGAGAAGTAATTTTAAAAGTTCTGTCTACAGACATTTTAAAGCAATAATGGGCAAGTGGGTGTCCCGGGAAACTAGGAATTAGTCAAGCCACAAGAGAAACAAAGATATCAGAGATACACAGGCATTCTGGGAGCACTCCTCTATGCAGGGCCATGCTGTGCAAAAGGGACTTTCCATGTTTTTGCCCAGGATCATCTGCCATCTGTTCACCGGCTGCAGGCAGACTTGGGTCCTCTGAGACAATATATGTCTGAAGGAAGCGGAGAAATACGTCAGTGAGGCTTTTAGGGACATCATAACTCCCTCATCCCCGGTCCAGCAGCTCTTGTGCTGCAGGGGAGGGAAATCTCATGGGCAAGTGGCACGCAGCCTGGGGAAGGGGGTGACGGATCCCGCAGAGGAACCTTCCCCAGCAGACAGTGGAACAGAGCAGGGGTCCCACACAGGAACGGGCAGGCTGCAGTGCTGAGGGATTTTGTAACTGGCTGTTTGGCTCCTAAAATGTGCGATGCCAGGTACAGTCATACAGATGCAACACAGTCTCGGAGCGGGTGCGGGCAAGGGAGGTGTGGTCCCGAGTGCAACGCAAGATGGATGTCTCAAATATGTCCCAAAGCGTACACTGTGACATGGGAGGTTAGAGATCAGAGTCCCCAGAGCGATTCTCCAAACTGATCCCAACACCATGCACACAGGCAGGGAGAAACGGCCTCTGTGTCTGGGAGGAGAACGGTGTTGGGACAGAGAGGTCGGAATTATTAGTAGCTGAAGAAACTGGGAGTCGATGGGATCTGCACAAGCACGGAAATCTCCATTTGACCCAGAGAGAGCCAGGACGCTGGCATGTGCAGTCACAACAGTGATGGACGGGGATGGGTTGGACTCAAACCTGAAGGGTATTCAACAGAGGCAGAGGAGCACACAGCGCCCAGCTTAGTCCCTCAAGATGGGGATCCTTTGAAGTCCTAAAAATTCAAAATCCTATAAAAAAATGACTAGGACTGAAACTGCTAGCATTGCTACCAGGAATAAGGTAGAAAGGAGAAATATATATTGTGAAAGCTTTATTATCAACCAAACAGCAAAGTTGGTGGCCTGAATATGTCATGTTCAGGGAGACCAGAGAAACTCTATGGGTAGAAACAGTGGGAAACATCCAATGAGAGCTTGCTAAAAGGGGGTTAAAAGGAGCAGGCAAAAGGGTAAAATGTAGGGAGAGCATTTACAGACACTGGTGAAGGTTTGGAATAAATATAACCGACTTAACCACAGCCAGATATCGAGAGTGCCAAAAGAGCCATCAGAGACACCAAACAGAGGAGGGGAGACTATTGGATGCCATTCAGAAGGTGGAAATCACCTTCAAAGAACAAGAAAAATAGAAAGCATTATGAATTTCAGCAAGTGGAATGTAAAACCATAAAAGGCAGGCCAAAAATAATTTTACCGAGCAATTTGAGAAAGACAAAAACCAATATTAAAACCTTGTTCACAGCTATCAGGAGTGGAAAGTCTACCAGGGCATCTGTAGGCCCTGTAGAAGATGCACCAGGGATGCTGAGGGCAGGGAGGGCAGAGGGAGGAGCACTCCATGAATTCACCGCGGTGCTGGCGGTGGGGAGCCTGCCATGCCGAGCCTGCCGTGCCACGGGAGCAACGGTGCAGAGGGTTTCCACCTCCAAACCCTTGTGGGGTTGGTGGCAGAAATTAAAATTGAGAAGTCAGCGCAAGGAAGTCGCAAACCTCATGCATCTCATGTCCATTTCTGATCTGCCGACAGCGGGCTGCGTCCTGTTAATTGCCTACCAAGGGAACGGAGGTGGCACAGATAGTGTCATTTTTGAAAGGCTCAGTCACTCATCTAAGGATCTCCAGAGTTAAAGGTCTCATTGCTGCACCCAGCGAAGTGGTAGAAATTGTAATAAACATGGAATTCGTGGGAACTCATGGATAAATACAGTAACTTGAGGAAGAGTCAATATAGCTTTTTAGAGGAAAGTCGTGGCTCAGAAACCTGTTACAGTTGTTGGAAGGAGAGGCGGCGTATGTGGACACAACAGCAATCCGATCAATATAATGTAATCCAAAAAGCCTTTAAAAAAATCTATCATAGAGTTTTCAAAGACACTGGGCTATAACAGATCAATAGCTTGCAAAGCTGGGAAGCAAAGGTAAGACTAGTTGGTAAATTTTCACAATGCAGAGAGATTGCCTATTGCATGCTACAAGCACTGGGGCTGGATTTTCCAGCATATTCATAAGTGATGGAGAAAAGGCAGTAAATAGCACAGTGACGACATTTTCTGGTGGAGAAAATAGTTCAGAAGAGTCATATCTAAAGGCGGCTGGAGAAAGCTGCAGAAGGATTTCAGGCTGCAGAGTGAGTGGGTGATAAAACGGCAAATGAAATTCAATGTTGATAAGGATAAAGTGAAGCACATCCCTAACTGCACGCAGTGGTGGACTCTAAATCGGCTACTACCGTTCAAGAGGCCGATCTGAGGGTTATTGTAGGCAATTCTCTGAAAACATCAGCTGAAGGTTCAGAAACAATTAAAAAGTAAAAAGGCTGTAGAAATGGCAAGGAAAGGAATTCGCTTTCAGCAGAAAACATCATTTGCCACTGTATAAACCAGAGGGTGCTCACAAATGTGTGCCTGGCTCAGCAAAGATGTGGAAGAACTGGAAAAGGTCACGGAGATGAGGAAAGTGGGTGATCAGAGGTGGGAATGGCATCCCTGCAAGAAAAGGCGGAATAGATCAGGACTGCCCATGTTAGAAAAGAGATGAATGAGGTGTAAGTGCTGGGGATGCAGACACTGACGCAGTGGAACGGAGAGCGGTTAGGGAATGGTCATTCAGCACTTTTCACAACACAAGAGCTAGGGGCACCTGGCAAAGGAATGGCCGGCAAGTTCATCCCAGGATGTCGTGAAACCAGAAGTCCAAATGGACTCAACAAGGAGTTAGATGAACTGAGGGAGGACTGGAACTATTAAAATTCATGGTCCACGTACTCTGCATGCACAAAGAAAAGCTCACTCATGGGAACTCAGGACACAGGTACAGGCTCACCCTCAGCCTCCTGTTTCACGGACGGGAGCTGGTGAGCACAGGACGAGACCTTCCAAACCCTCAGGGTGAGAGGCATCTCCAGCTTGTCATAACCATCTGTGCTGACCATGGAGATCTGTTCCACAGGCCCATACAAGAATCTGCAGAGAAAGTATTTGCACTTTCCATCTTTGGCTGCAGAAGCATAAAAGATCTGCAAAAAAGCAAATTACATCTTTCTATCGTTCCCTTTTTCCCTGTAGAAGATATGCAACCTGCCCTCTGTCTCACCCAGGACACGAACAAATAACAGTGCTGTGGAGGCTGTGGTCCTTCAGAGCCTCTCCCACCCTTCGCTGCCTCACTGAAGAGAGGTGGATGCCTGGGACAAGCAGCAAGGCACTCCTCCATCTCCTGCTTCCACTGCTGTAGCGCTGCCTCTCCCTGCCA